CTGAACCAAAGTATCAAAGGGATCAAGACGAAAACCAAGCGCCCTTCTGACTGGGCATCGTATCTTCCACAAATGTTCCAGTTCTACCGCTAGACACTTCATCACTGCTTTCTGCAACGGGGAATTTACAATAGCGGCAACGCATTAATAACTACAACCGCAATGACGACACTTACACCAGGAAAAACTTTGATATCTGTACTCAGCGAATCGTTCTGCCTAAAATAATCAACGACGTACCAGAATCGCAGGTTGTGCCACGGAAGAAATGATGAGAAAAAAAATGGGTCGCCAAACACGCAGTCGATCTGAAATAAAAGCGTCGTTCCACGAGTTCTGACTTTTACGAAATACTGCAACTTGCTCGACCTTCTGTTTCGTGGCGACGATCCCACTGTAATCAGCGTGTAAAACGAACGACCCATCAGTGCAAGTTACATTACACTTCGCATAGTCGGATATAACCTCTCTACTGATCTGATTCATTTCAACAGCAAACACCTGAACAAACAACTTATGAACTCATGATTGACTGATAAATCGAACAAATTCATAATTAAAATAAAAATTTGCTTCATAACAACCTCTGAAGAAATGAATGACTGAGGCGGCGACAGAAGTGAACCACCACACGTGATAAAAGTAACCTAAGCTAAAGACATTACCGTTTGAAAAATAAAGCAGTCTTGGCTGATGCTACCGAAAGATTCTCTTCAATCAACGTATGGGACAACTGAGTTTCTCTGTTCCAAAGTAGGGAATGATTAAATTTCGCTCTCACAGAGTCTACGATACAGCTATCCTACGATAGCAAGGTGGAGATGAAATGCAGCGGATCAATGACTATTTTATTCGAAACCCTGTTATTCCTGTGCTTGCAAGATGAAAAAAATGAACGTCAAATTCTGTGACACAATCATGTTTGACTCGCTCTCTCTAACGACAAACAGACGCACTTATACATTAAACACAGCAGCAACAGAAAGAGCTACACTTAAATCGAGCTGGAAAAGTGATGGCAGGAATTACACATCCTGAGACAAACCCCGTTTTTAGCAAAAATTGCAAAACATTTTGCCAAATAATAGCACCTTTTCCGCTTTCGTAACACACCTACAGCGTTACTAAAATCTCGTCGTCCTATTACAGCAGAAACGAAAATGCGTTATCCGTCATCCTAATTATCCTCGCCACGAAAGCAAGTCGACACTTCTCCAGCATTCCCTAATCTGCGTTTTCTGCCACCACTGCTAACCTAGTAATCCGACCATCTGTTAAGTCACCCCAGTGTGTTCTCAGACAACAAGCTCAGTCTTGGAAGTCCAGCGGAATCAGCTTGAAATTCTTGACATCCACCGGTTTTCTCTCAAACGAGTCACATGAGTGACCCATCATTTCTCGGTGTCGTAGAAGGCTGAAATCGCGTCTATTGTCTCAGTCAGTTTCCGGATTTAAACGCTCAAAACGTAATCCCGCAGGAAAACCTTGCGCATTTTCGCTCCATCGCTATTTGCATGACCATCAGTTTGCTACCCTTGGCTTTAGTAGCAGATCAATATTCAGCGCAATAGATTATGACGGATAGGATGACTGAATCGAGCAGCTCCTTCTGTGCCCATATGAGCAGCTCACTGTCGAGAAGTGATGCTTTAATACGGCTAAAGCGGGCCCATGCTGCCACAGTCACAAACGAGAATGGCCTGAAATATTTCCTTCTGTCGTACACAACAAACCTAACTCAACTGACAAATTTACCATCTCATCGACGTATTTGAAATGAATTTAGCACCTCAATGCACAATGTGTACCTACCTATTCAAGGCCTCACTACAAAGCGGTCAAATTATAAATGACTCCTCCAAGACCAGATTTCACGGCGTATTGCACGCCCATTGCTCCTAGTTCACTGTAAGGCATTTAACGCCACGGTTCCATGATATTTGAGCACCTGCAGTGCCAGATACATATTGCTCCATTTTTGTCTCCTACAGCCATCTCGCGCTCATCACCAACGATGTTTTAGGAGCTAATACTCCTCAAATGCTACTGTATAAAGAGCATAACTGTGAGGTACTAACGGCTTATGATGTTATTGCGGCAACATATAAGGATTATCAGTTCCTGAAACATCGTTCGTGATAAACAAGAATTGACTGTAGCGGAAAAACGTATGCGAGATGCATCTGGCGCTGCAAATGCTGAAGCACCATACAACCTGTAACCTCTTTAAATGTCTTAAGGAAACGAAGAACAAGGGGGCGATGCAATAAGCCGTTAAACCTGGTCTTGGATGATTCATTCGTTATTAAACATGCTCGAGCGTATGAGCAGTTTATGGTGCTTAACCAGTCAAATTAGCATAGCTATCATAATTCACAAAAAACATCATGTTAAAGAAATATGAATCAACGAAACTGTATGTTGAATAGTTACATTATATTGACTTAAAGATCGACTTCGAAAAA